GCCCTCAGAAGCCAGATGAGGGCCGGTCTCCTGGAATTGGAGGTACAGTGAGTATCGAGTTATGAGTGGCTTGAGACATATGCTGGGAACTGAACATGAACCCTCTGATTCTAATACTTAAGAAGTATAATCAAAGATAACAAATGAGTTACTAGTGGCCAGGTTACTTTGGAGCACACTACGGGCACGCACAGTAAAATCTAAACATTAGCAGTGTCTCCTGAACCAAGCAGTAAACATTTGCTTAAAGAGTGGTGTATATAGTGCAAAGTGTTGTCATCTGGGAGAGCCATGCAGAGTGTGTGCCCCCTTTTATTGTCTGTCTGTGTGACCTAGGGGCACAATCATTACACAGTATACCCTGCCAATAATTTAAATGAACTCAGTGAGTATAAGCAGTCACCTCCTCTGAAACAATTTTAGGGAAAACTGGCAACTTTCTGCTGTTAAAAGCCTCAATATGTCCTGTGCTAAAGCCATTCAAATTCATTTAGTGATCATGTTGAAAATACACACTTTTGTATAAATGCAAAAACAAAGCAACACAAACCAACAAAGATATCCTTATTGCCCAACAGACATTCTTTTTTACCTGAAGCTACATGAGGACCTTAAGGTAGAATTTTACTAAAGTCTTGTTCTGTTTTTTTTCTGTGGGATACACTTCCTCTTCCCAGCATGCCCTTTGAAACCACCCTGCTTTAACAGACTCACCTGCCTCTAGTCACACCTTTCAGTGTCTGTGCACATGCACTTACTTGTTCCTTCCTGCATGTGTGTGTAAGCATATGAGTACAGAGTGTACATTTATGGGTCAGAAGACAACGGTGGGTGTTAGTTCTCAGGCACCCTCCACATTTTGTCTGGACAGGGTCTCTCATTGGCCTGGAACTTTGGTACATAGGCAGGTTAGCTGGCCTGCAAGCTTCCAGGGCTCCTTCTGTCTCCCACCATCTTGAAATAGTAGAGTTACAGGCATGCACCACTTTGTATTTGGGTTCTAGAGATCAAAACTCAGGTCCCCTCGTGTCTACCAAGTAAGTACTATACCAACTGAGCCATCTCACCAGTCTTTGTCCATTGCAACTTGGTGCATGCCTTCCAGGGGGAACATTATATACTGTGCTCATCCTGTCTGTGAACTTGTCTTTATCACCCAGTAGACTATAGATAGATACTGGGAGAACGTAATGTAGGACTGGCAAGATGGCTCAATGGACAAAAGCACTTGTCACCCAAGCCTGTCAACCTGAGTTTGACTTCCAGAACCCACAGTAAAAGGAAGAACTGACTCCTAAAAGTTGTTCTCTGACCGCTACAAATTCCCTGTGGGACCCATGCACCTACATACATCATTTTTTTTTTTTTTTTAACAAAAGAGAAAAAACACAATGGATCTATTTATCTCTGGAATCCTTAGTGCCTAACACTGGTCAAGGAAAAAAGGCTGTCTTTAACTTATTTTACATTATTTTTAATCTTTAACTATTAACTATTTAATCTTTAACTATTAACAAAGAAATGAGATTCATACACAAAACCAATCAACCTTTTATTTTAGAATAAGCAAATCTTTGTCTAAAAAAATATTGTCAAATTTAGACATTTTAGTGTCAAGCAACAGACAATGAGTTTTCTTGGATGATGAATACTCACTGTGCTCTGGTAGTTAGACAATCTGGCTAAATACCTGTGTCATTAGGGAAGATTCAAGACTAAGATGATCCAATCCAGGCTGTCCCTGTGCATTTCTGACAGACAAAGTGCAGAAATTAAGATGCCAAGGCTCTGCCCTCTAAAGCTAAGCATGTCTGAGTGTTCTGGATCAGAAGCAGTTTCCTGTACTTCGGGGCTTACAAGGACTGTACAATGGAGGAGCAACAGTTGATCCACGCCACACTGCAGTGTGGGAAGATGGAAACTACCACACAGTACACTTACATGCAAAGTTAAAAAGACAGCAGACGGTACCTGCTTTGTAGAGGATGGATTTTAGGAGACTTGGGTAACTTAGAAGTCTCAATTCCAAGAAGCTGGACAGCACCATTATCAGAGGCTATGGCCAAGTAGTGGGAGCCCTGGCAAAATGTCAGTGTCTTGACTCGCCCTCCAATTCGGCTGTATGTGAGAATAGACCTGAATGAAAGAAATATAAGACCATTTATGAAACAGCCACAGCCATTATTGCTAACACTAATTCACATGGTTATTAACAAAGTCATTACTCTGAGTCCATTATATCATCATGATCTCTAAGTCAAATGTCCATCTTCAAACACCTCTGTCCTATTAGAGAGACTGCCCTTGCCCCTCAAGTTCTGAACCAATTCTCCAACTCGTGCAACACTTTAAATCCCATATCCTTCAGCTCTTCTATAGCCCTGAACACACAGACTGTCACAGTCAGGAAAGTTCTGCCTTCAAAAGCTAAATTCTGTCACCAGTTACCTATATGACCTCTGTCATGATCTGTGCCTTGGTTTCCTCAAGTACCTGACCCGAGGGGTCAGAGGAGTGGTCCACTAAACCATTCACACATGCAGACTTCCACCAAGACGATATTCAGACACACAGACACAGAGACAGACAGACACACAGACACAGAGACAGACAGACAGACAGAGGCACGCGCACTTTGAGTATCCCATCAGCATCACTTAACCTGTCATTCCTCATAGCATCTGTACATATTCACACTTACTATTAAACAAAAATAGACCATTTGATGTTTTCCCTCTCATTCCTCTCTAGCTCACTTTTTCTTAGGAACAGCTTTACTGTACTATAGAGTACTTTCAAAGTAGTCTGCTTACTGCTTAGTGTAGCAAAATGAAATTGATCTCTGGATAATGATCCAGCATTCTACCTTTTCATTTAATGCTTTTTATTCATATACTAGATTCATGCTGACTGCTAACAGAAATAGATTTACGTTTTTCCATTTGTATACATATTACATACAAGTGTGTGTGTGTGTGTGTGTGTGTGTGTGTGTGTGCGCGCACACATATTCCTTATCTAGATACTGTGGCTAGACCCTCCAGTGCAATGCTCAGTGGAATTGGCAAAGACACCCATTCTTCTCTTATTCCTCATTTAGAGCCTGTACTCTTCACAGTATCAGCTGTGGTTTGTGGCAGTGGCTTTGACTATTTCTCCATTACTAATTTACTGAGTTGGTTTTAACTACCAAAGGGTGGACCTTGTCAAATGCATTCCCGGGGTCTGTAGAGATCACTGTGTGGTTTCTACCCTTTAGTCTCCTCATGTTCCGAATGCTGATTTCCGTACACTGAACTAGCCTTGCACCCCCGGGACATGCTGTTCTTGCTCGTGGTATATAACCCTTTCAGGTTACAGTCAGTTTACAGTGTGTTGATGAGGGTTTTCACATCCGTGCTGACTACAACACAAGTCTCCAAGTCCCAGGTGATGTGCCCTGGCTACAGTGTCAAGGGAATACCTGCTCACAGGCTGAGTTCAGGAGTGTCCCCTAATGTCTTGGGAGCCCTTCTGAAGATGGATTATAATTTTGTAACACTGAGTAGAGCTCATCACAACCCAGCCTATGCCTTTCTTTGTGAGGAGACTTTTACTAACTGAATCCCTTAATTTTATGTTGTTTACATGTTCTATTTCATCTTCAATCACTTTAAGCAGCTATATCTTTCTATGAACTTGTCCATTTCATACTAACTTTTGGCATATAACTGTTCACAGTAGTCTTTTTTATTTCTGACCATAATATCCCTTGACAGGGGAGGTCCTTCTGTGTATATTTATCTTATTGGTTGTTGAAAAAAGCACTGTTTGGCCAATGAGGCAGAAAGATAGGTGGGACTAGGAGTCAAGAAGGATTCTGGGAAATGTAGTTGAGACAGGAGCTGCCATGTGAGCCTGACGAGAGGATGCATGCCGGTGTCCTCAATCAGATAAGTCTTTATAAATATATAGATTAATAATTATGGTTGATACTTAAGACAGTGATAGCAGATAAGAAATCCTAGTCATTGGCCAGCAGCATTGTACCAAGTCTCAGTGTGTTATTTTGGGTGCCCACGTGGCAGCAGGGCTTGGACGGCTTGGCGGAAATACTTATTGTTACAATCCATCTTTTAAAATTCTGATTTGGGTAACAAGTATATTTTAATTTCTTTAAAACAAAATGGTTACTCTCCTAAAAAATTTCCAGTTTTGCTGATATTTACAAAGAATCAACTTTCTGCTTTTTACTTTTATCTTGATGTTTTTCTATTCTCTGTTTCATCTTTTCCTTTTTAGTCTTTTTCCATCCATTTCCCTTGAGCTAAATCTGCTCTCCCCTTTTGTTAGTCTGTTACAGCTAAACTGCTGATTTGAGATCTTTTTAAAAAACAAAATCCAGATTAATATTTACCAGTATACATTTCCTCAACACTCCTTTAGCTGTGTGCTGTGTCTTCATTTTCATTAATCTCTAAGGATTTTCTTTGAACCACTAGCTATCAGCCATATGTTGCTTCATGGAATTCATTGCCATACAAGTGAATTTCTCAAATTCCTCTCTATTACCAACACCTGGTTTCATTCCACTATAGTGGGAGAATAAATATACTTTATACACTTCGGTGCTTTTGTATTTGTTGATGTTTCTTTCATGAACTAATGCATGGTTTAGTCTGGAAAATACAGTCCAGTGTTGCAGAGTTCTTTTGCTCTCTGTCAGATGCGATTGCTGGGCAGCGTGGTTCAGGCCTCCATTTCTGTGTCACTTTTACAACACCTGGTTCTAACCATACTGAAAATGGGATATTAAAGTTACACTATTACAGCTAAACTGTCACTTTTTGCTTCACACACTTTAGATGCCTGGTTTGTAACTGGCATGCTCCTGATGGACTGTAGAAGGTCTGTGTCCCAGGAGCAGTTTATCTGAGGGTTTACCTTTCTCTGCACTCCCCGGGGAAGTATGGTTTATCTTTCTAATCCTCTCACAACTCGTTCACACCTTTGAATTCAAGATGTCTTTTTCTGTACAGCATAAAGGTGGCCCCAACTGAGTCCTTCTTTCTGCCTCCTTTGCCTCCTGATTAGTCACCGTGGTTACTAATAGGGACGACATAATTCTGACATTTTTATATTTATTCCTGTTCTTACTTGGGCTTTCTCCACTGCTACCTTTTTTATTAAATATTTTTTAGAATACAATTTTCATTCCCTTGGTTTTGAGTTTTAGTAAAAGTTCCCAAGCTTTTAAGTTACTGAGAAATACAATTAACATCTTTTTTAAAATTAAATAATAGCAACTTAAAGACACACTTATGTTTTAATATATTCCTCTTTCTTTCTGGTCAAGTACTGTCATGAAGTATATTAATATACTGTGTTATAAACCAAGGGTGAGTATTGCTAAGAACAAAAGCAACTTGCTTGGAGGTTTGAAATTTCTACAATAAAATGTTGGCTTAAAAAAAATCTATACAATGGAGAAAAGACAGCATCTTCAACAAATGGTGCTGCTATAACTTGGATGTCAGCATGTAGAAGAATGCAAATAGATTCGTATCTATCATCATCCTGCACAAAACTCAAGTCCAAGTAGATCAAAGACTCAACATAAGTCCAGTTACACAGAAGAAAAAGTGGGGAACCACCTTGTACACATTTGCACAGCAGACAACTTCCTGAATAGAACACCAGTAGTACAGACACTAAGATCAAGATCCAGATATATCACTCTTGGGCATTTACCCAAAGGATGCTCAACCATACCACAAGGACATTTGCTCAACTGTGTTCATAAAAGCTTTATTTGTAATATCCATAGCCCAGAAACAACCTAGATGCCCATCAACTAAAGAATGGATTAAAAAAAAATGTGGTACATATACACAATGGAGTATTCGCAGCTGTTAAAAACAATAACATCATGAAATTTGAAGGCAAATGGATGGAACTAGAAAAAAATATTTCTGAGTGAGGTAACCCAGATCCAAAAACACAACAGTATGAACTCACTCATAAGTGGATAGTAACTGTAAAGTAAAGGATTACCATGCTACAATTCTCAGACCCAGAGAGGCTAGGGAACAAGGAGGACCCAAGAGGGGACACATGTATCTCCGCGGGAAGGGAAATAGAGATCTCCTGATTGGACTGGGGGGGTGTGGGCATGGGAACTTGAGAAATTGGGTTGAGGGGTGGGTGGAGGGAAACAGTGCTGAGAGATGGCTAGACTGTGGGGCTTTATGGAGTCAAGTAGAAGCCTGATGCAAGGGAAACTTCCACAAGTCTACAAGAATGGCCCTAGCTAAGACTCCTGGCAGCAGTGAATGCATAACTTGAACTGGCCATCCCCTGCAATCAGACTGGTGACTACCCCATTGTCATTGGAAAGCCTTTATCCAATGACTGAAGTAGGCAGATTCAGAAACCTATGGCCAAACACTGGGCTGTGCTTGCTCGGAGTCCTGATGAGGAGAAGGAGGAGGGAATGTAGGAAACAGGGGTGAGGGGTTAGGAACATCAAAGGAAAACCTATAGAAATCACTTGCCTGGCTCATGGGAACTCAAGAGTCTGAACCAACATCAAGGGAGCATGTGTGGGACCAATGTAGGCCCTCTGCATGTATGTGACAGTTGTGTAGCGTGGTCTATATGTGAGACTCCTGGCAATGGGAACAGGGGTTATCCCTGATGCTTTGACTGGTTCGTGGGAACCCATTCCTCATGCTGGATTGCCTTGCCCAGCCTGAGTACAGGGGGAGGTGCTTGGTCTTATGGCAGCTTGGTATGCCATGCTTTGTTGAAGCCCACAACAGGCCTGCCCCTTTCTGAGTGATTGCTGAGGAGGGGTGGATGGCAGGGATGGGGGGAAGGGAGGGAAGTGAGAAGGGAGTGGAAGGAGAGGAGGCTGCAGTTGGGATGTAAAATAAATAAAAAATCCATACAAAACAAAAATAAAATTGCTACATACATCTATGGTTCTTTTAATGATTTTTCATTTATATTCTATTCATTGTAATGCTGAGAGAATAAACATAGAAACAGTAGGTATAATGTAAAATCACAGAGCCCTTTAAACAAATACACAGCTAAGCCCCAGCTTACCGAGCTGGTAAACAAGAAGTGGGCTTTTAAGTTACTTTAGTTGTCAAGGGTATTTGATTTGATAGAATTTTAGCTAATTATGCTCAATGAACTAATAACAAGAAAAGCAGCAGAGAGTTGCCACATCCTTTCAATGTAGATGAGATTCATTCTCATTTATAGTAGCTCTCTGGCAGAACCAATTAGGCAAAGAGCAGACAGGAAAATGGCAGAATTAAATGAGTGCACAGAGACTGAGCAGAGGCAGAGGAGGATTCGGAAACCTCAAGCAGAGGTGGGGTGGGAGACGTATTTATCATGCTGCCCAAATGTAAAGTCCTTGTAATAGTCACCTTTATCAAACTCATAACCTGGGAATTTAAAGTCTCAATGATGCTGGTCCTAAAAAACCAGGTTCCAGAGCACTGGGGTCTTGTTTTCCTGACACAGCTGTCCATCCCATTGGACTGTTATTTCTGTTCAAACCCCTTTTATGTATTCAGTAAATTAGGTTGCTCAGCCATCAAAACAAATGCAGAATCTGGTCCCTCCCACTGTCTATACCACATCTCCTCCTTGCATCACCACAATGATCATTCCTTCAATTGCTGTTGCCCTACCATTTCCATCCTGCCCTCAACACACAGCCGGAGCCATTCCTGACATCTCGGATCATGACTCTCCTCTGTTCACATCCTTCTGAAGACCACTCTCACTCAAGAGCCCTCGAACTGAAATCCTACTTCTCTCCCTTCTTGCTTGCCCTGCTCAGGTTACACAAAACTTCCCATCGGGATGACTGACCAGGCCTCCACCCCGCCCCCACTTCCACCGGGGGCCTCTAAAATCCCTGTTTCCTCCTCCCAGAACATTCAACATACCCACGTGGCTCTTTCTCCTTCCTCCAATTCTTTCCTCAGATTCATTTTTTCTGTGTGAGGTAGTTTCTGGACAGTTCACTTAAAATTCCAGTCCCCAACGTCCGCCCCATCCCCCTGTCACCTAATGTATCTTTTCAATACTTTATTTATACTTCTTGCTCTCACTTCCCAGATGGCCAGTGGCACAGGACTTTAGGCCTAAGAGCTCTGATGCAGAGAAAGCACTCCGGAAGCACTGCTGATTTAGCCGACAGGGCCAACCCCATCACGGGACAGGACGTGTTTGTTACCTTGTCGTGGTGGTCTTCCCCTCCATCTTCTGACTGTTCCAGATTTTCACAGTGCCATCATTTGAACATGTTGCAAAAAGTAAGTGCTCATCAGAGACCCTAATTCGGTTGACAGCAGATTTGTGCTCATGAAGATGTGCAACTAGCAGACCTTTAGGACGCCACCCTGAGAAAAAGCAGGAGTGTCTCTTACCCTGTGGTGGAGAGACCCCTCCCCCACCTCCCCAGCTACAATCAGCAACAGCTAACTTCAGAGCAATCAGAAGGACCAATCAATTAAAAGGTCACCCAGCTAGCCTACCCACAGGGGTCTACTGGGCTGTGACATATCACTAAGAGACCAAGGCAGCAATTAAGTACTGCTCAGGAAGACTCCACCTCGGGCCCTTTTCAGGATTCGAGAGGCAAAGCAATCACTTACCCCCTTGAAAAACACCGACTGCTGACTTAGCAGCATGGCGTATGGCTTTTCTAGCCTAGACAAACAGCTTCGAGACCACTTTCTGAGCAAGAACGCTGAAAAAACCCCAGCTTGGGATACTAGAGTGACCCAGGCTATTGATGAACTTCACTGACTTGTCATCTTCCCAACTGTAACATGAGGTTAACCCACTTAACCCCAGGGGGTTGGTATGCACATAAATAACATGTGTGGGTCCAATACTGCCCAGCCCACATGACCACTCAGATATCAGGCGGGCATGGTGGCACACGCCTTTAGTCCCAGCACTCAGAAGGCTGTAAAAGTGGGGCTCTTTGAGTTCAAGGCCAGCCTGTTCTTCATATCAAGTTCTAGAAGAGTCAGGACTACTTAGACCTGTATCAAAACAAAACAAAAGGAACAAAACAAGCAAATGCCCAGATTGTTACTGTCTTCTTTGCCTGCAATCACTTCTTCTATGGTGTAAACACACTAGAATTAGAAATTTCAGCCTCAGCACCTACAAGGATTTCCCAGTACTTTGTAAATGGCAGCTATAATTTTTCGTATTTTATTATGCATATTCTTTTATGTATAATTAATGTCCCCAAAGTTACAAATTCTGACACCAAAGATCATGTCTCATCAATGACCTCAGTATGCATATAACTATCTTTAAAATTTAGACACAGCAGCGGAATTCTAGA